CAGCTGCAGACTGGAAAATTGAATCTGCAATGGCAATAATCGCACGACTTAACAAAGGCTTACTGTTATCACACCTGTATATTAAAGATTAGTTCAAAGATCAAAAGGAATGTTCATGAGTTAACGGGGTGTGTTCCTATCCAAACCCATTTTGATCAACAGCGAGAGGGATGTTGACCGCTAAGTTTGATTGGGTCAATTCACAGCTATATCCAATTGGAATTGAATTAGAGGATGTGATTTCAGTTTAGAAGCGAATGATACTTTTCGAACTCGTAAGAGAAAATTAAGTATTCGCCTGGAAGGATTTCATATCAATATGGTTTACTCCAAGATAGAAGCCTCTCGTAATTTGGCAGCAAAACTTAGAGGAAGGTTCTAAGGAAAGAGAAAGCTTAGAAATGGCCAATAAGTTATTTGCTCGATTTTTGCATAATATTACGGCATCGCAATTGTAACTATTTGTAGTATGTATTCTTAATTACTAGGATCGTTTAGTATATTGAATAACCTTTGTTGTGTTTAATTTACAGGCGTATTTAGAAATGGGATTGAGCCTGCGAAGAGAATTATCATTTGCGAGGAGTAATTATGTAGATTGTTGACTTTTGGTTAGAAATAATTTTGTCATTCGCTGATAGGTTAATTCGTTGTAAACCAATGCATTTATTAATGCGTTATTGCGGAATTTATAGTAATGTCTAGCACTAGGGCATCATGCCACAGACATGTATCATGATGTCCCACCCAGTCACATTATCTTAACACGAGGCCGACAAGTCCTAAAAAGCGAAACAGCTGTTAGTACCATTTTTGTAAGTCTTTAGTATGACTTAACCGAGGATCGAACCCATGAACTCGCGCATCCGTGGTGAACGCTCTAACCACTAGTCCACCGGAGCGGTTAGTTATATAGATAAATAATGTAGATAAATTATGTAAATTATTTTAATGTAGATAAGTTATGTAGATAAATTATGTAGATAAATAATGTCGATAAATTATGTAGATAGGTTTTGTAGATAAATTATGTGTAAGAGGTAAGAGTTTAATAATTGTCAAAATGAGAATTTGTTGTTTATTAAAATGAAAAAGTTCACATCCACACCCGACTGACGCAGTGAGACACACTAAGGATAAATTCTTTGCCGGAGTTGCCCCATACGTTGAAACTGATTTACATGATTTGAAGATTATTCTACTGTAACGTTGATGGCTAATATTTGGTATTTCGGTGGGTTCGGAAACCAAAATTTACTACCACATTATTTTTCTTTTATTGACAGCGATTTTGTGAAGGCTAGTATATTTTACACCAAATCGTAGTTTTAGTATCTATTAAAATTAATGGTCGTCTGAGCCATCCTTAAAGGATTATGGGTAAGCCTCGATTTCAAGGTAAACATCAGATGCATACATCACTGATTCGTATATTGAAAATAATACTACTGACGTTTTACCTAAGGGACCATATATTATTTAAAGAACCTGATATTGTTTTTGATGGTTTGATTTATACAGTCAGCATGTACCAGATGCTGTGAATATTTCCCAGTTTCATGTTTTGCTTCTTTTGTGCATTGTGGCACAACAACGTAAGAAAGTTGTTTAGTGTCGTGGCAACTGGAGTAAATTTACTGGCTGAAGGGCCACAGCCTCGGTAAGATGCGGGAAGTCGTGGGTTCGATAACCGTCGAGTCATACCAAAGATACTAACAGCTGCCCCGCTTGGCGATAAGCATTGAGAGGTTACTGTAGGATTGGTAGGCCTGGTCTCAGGATGTTGTGACTGTTGGAGACATTATGTTAAATTGCTCCAGTGCTAGACATCACTATAAACTGCCAAACTGCAGACATCGTAGCGATATGACTGGAACATTGTTAAAGCTACTTTAAAAATCTATATCGCGCACACAGACACACACAAGCGCGCACGCGCCATGGTAGCTAAAATTGGTTGCTCAGATGGCAGAATTCGAACCCGGACCCATTCGACCGTGCGTCCAGGATGCTAATTACTAAGCCAGCAGAACTCTTCCGTTTCAGAAAGCAAAAATGTGTACCACATTGTATAATCAAATTTTGAAAAAGTTTATATATTTAGAAGTTTCTTCATTTCTTTCAATGAAGACAACGTCCGGTTCTAAAATCAACATTAAGTGTAGGTACAATAAAGTTAATAACTGCTCTGAGATAATTTGTTAAGGCAATTGGTCCAATAATATATTTTGTAGCGATGACTCATACAACACATAAATTTGTCTATACTAGCTAGAGAGTGTCTGTATTCAAATCTCCACTTTCGAATGAGGGTTGTTTGTGCGCTTTGCCCAGCTCTTAAATTTTGGATGATGGTAAATCTTGCATGTGAGTCTCGGTACCCTAATGCGTAAACATAAACTGAACTCATAAATTTTCAGGTCAGCATCATCTAATGTAGCTTAAAGTCCCCATTTTAGTGTAAAGGAACGTATTTAAACGAATTGAGTAGATTAAACTACACGTACTTACGCTGAGATGAAAATTTAAAGTTAGGATAAAATTCGAGATGCAAATTATAGTTATATCTTTTCTTGAAACGTGAACACTGATTTTGACAGTGTATGACTTACTTCGTGAATGTGTGATTATTTGATTTTAAAGTTTCCTCATAAGTCAAAGGCATACGAGCTTATATTTGTTTAATTGATTCTCCTGGATGTGAAAAGAGCTAAGATGTACATCAAAAAAAAAGGATTGGCTGTGTACTCTTAAACCATAATCGTCCCCCATTCAGATACTGAAGTAAAGAATGATGAAGATTCTTGTCACCCCTAAGATGTAAACTTATTTTTGTTTAAACAAGTATTACATGTGGGGCAAAGTGTGAGAATACCGTCAACTGATATTCAAAATTGCCAAATTAAGGACGAATTTTAATACAAGAACAACTTTTTGTCTCTCTTTCATGTCATCATTTGTGATTTCCAGAATAAAATGGCATATTACCAAGTTCTATATGAATAGGAGATAATACACCTAACGTTGCACTCCGTAATTCAATATGTGTGAGGAAGTATTATATGTGAAAATGTACCTACTTGTTAATAAGTTTTGAATCGTAAGACACAGAAATAAAATCAACCTAAATTGTACAAATTATTAAATTAATTGGAAACACATATCGTATAACAGTTCCTTTATATCATATCTAAAAAATTAATTAGAGGTAGAATATATTAAACGTTAGACCTTTGAAGTCTGTAGCATGGTTCTATTCCATTACTACTCAAAATTGTATAATCTGTATGCAACTATTTCAATTTCCTGTCATTCAGCATGTAACTAGTTGCCACGTGGAGAAAATCAGTTTGAAAATTTTCCACTTTTCATAATTGTATGGCGGTAAAAGATTTTGCCTGTATAAACTTTTGGCGCTTGCCTAATACTGTTCTGGAAAAGAAATATATATTCTTATTTACATCAATTGATTCTTATACACATCTACAGAATATAATTATTGTACAATATTAGTATATAGATAAATGGTTATAGACAGATAGGCTTTTGAATTTGACGTGCTTTGAAATGAGAGAGAGAGAGAGAGAGAGAGAGAGAGAGAGAGAGAGAGAGAGAGAGAGAGAGAGAGAGAGAGAGAGAGAGAGAGAGAGGTGTGAAAAGTTAGACAAAGTTGATAATGTGTGAGATACTTAAGTACACTTAACTGTTTTATTTGTTAGTATCAGGATATTGCAGGACGGAGAGTTAAAATGTGATAACCATATAAAAGAGAAGACAACGGAATTTGCTGACACATAACTCCTATGGATAGGGCCTGTCTTCTATTGATTAACCGTTTCAGAAAATGTTGTAAGGGAAAGCATTCTGGAACAGGTAACTAGGATTTAAAGGAGTTCCATTCTACGTGCGGCAGAAATCTACACACTTAGATATTTCACAAATGTTTTTGTTATGTCAAATACAAATGTTTTACATTTATCGAATTTGGTCATATCTTCCAATCATATCATCTACTAATTAGCTTCTAATACATTGTCTTTCTTCAAACGCCTTCTTGAATAAACAGAGGCCATGAAAACTTCATATACTTTTAAAGAGTCGTGGAAGATGGAGCTAGAAACAAACTGTTCTTGACGAACGGTCGAAATTTTGACCTGGAGGTCTTAAGCATAAAGAGAGGACTGACTTCATCCTTCCTGGAAATACCTGACTGATCCAGGCTGTTTTAGATTACTGACCAAACATGGCATGAAAACAGTACCATATAACAGCTGAAGAGTGTCTATGAGTAAGATGAATCCTTTTCCATTCTGCGGGTACCTGCCAAACACACACCAGACAACAACAGATGTAAATACACACTTGCACATACTGCTTTCATTAAGTTACTCAATTTATGTATACAAAGATCATTACATCTTTATAGTTATTACACACACAAACACACGCAAGGATAAACACACGAAATTTCTCTCTCTCTCTCTCTCTCTCATATAAAGACTTTACATTCGAAGAGAAGCGAAATCTATTCCTTTGCAAGCCATCAGAATAAATGGTATAGGAGAATACACGAAATCGTCATGAATGCGTGCTGGTCCTATCAACTTTGACATTGTGCTGTTAGCGTATAGAACAAACACCTGACTTTTGACTTTCCGAAGGAATATGGTTTGCATAGGTAATGATGAACGTAAATGTTAAAACTTTTATAATTTATTATATGGATTTTTGTTTTAACTTTTCAAATTCATTTTCTGTGATGTGATGTGATTTTCATTTTTACCTTAGCTTTTACAATTTTTCAGTCATATCGCTACGATGTCTGCAGTGTGACAATTTATAGTGATGTCTGGCACTGGGCATAATGCCGCAGACATGTAGCCTGACGCCCTACCCAGTCACATTATCCTGACACCAGGCCGATCAATCCCAACACTAACCTCTTAATGCTGAGTGCCAAGCGAGGAAGCTGTTAGTATCATTTTTGTAAGCCTTTGGTGTGACTCGACCGGGGATCGAACCCACACCCCCTCCCGCATCCGAGGCGGACGCTTTAACCACTAGGCCACCGGAGCGGCCATTTCTGTACATGTTTACGACCTGCTAACATCCACTTTACCCATGTATCTAAGGTTGGTTTTGTTTTCTGGGTTTAACCATATCTTCAGCTTATGAAAGACTTTACCTAGCGACCAGTATCTGACAGAAGAACCGTGCAAACCACGGGAAGAATCTGCGAGCTTCAGGAAGCTACTTGCACGAGTTCTCTTTACCCGTGTTACTTGCCCATTTTTCTTGATTAGATGCACTACATATATTTATCTAAAATCCTTTTAGATTATTTTAAGGACAATTTTATCTTAATATATACTATTTCTATATCTTTGTTTTGTATTATGCATTTTATTTTCTTCCTTCTTTTTTCTTCTGCTGATAGATTGTAAGTTATTTCAAATAATATTACTGTGTTTGCAAATGTTTTGGAGCAATACAACCTTCGGTTTCATACGTGTGCTTCACTAGTAGGAAAGCATTTTTCTGAATAAAATGAAGTAGATAGCAACGGTGTATTTTCATTCATGTCAAAAGCTTATGGAACCCTGATCTAGCGTACTGATCAGCATGCACTACACCTAATGCAGTACACAAATACTAGTCTTTTAAAGACTTTTTAAGACTTGAAGTGCATTTAGTTGACACTGAACGTATAAATATATAAATGACTCATCTTAACTCAAAGAACAACATTTCAACACTTTTCACTAGCTGCGGATTCATGAATTCAGTAATGCCTATCCTTTTACGCAGGACAGCCACCCCGTCCTCTCTATGATATAGATACAAAGCTTCCCTTCTTTGTTCTTTGATAAAATCAAGGCAATAAATCGCCATGTGATCATCCATCAGTTTTCAGCATCTGTTTTAGTTTGGGGTGAAATTTTGAGAAAAAAAGCAAAATACCAAGGAAAACAAATATGTACAGTTAGTACAAGTGAATTAAAAACAACTTTAGAAAACTACAGGTATAGTAGTGTGCATTTGTATTTGAAAATCAAGTGTACATTTGAATCATATCAATACTTATAATTTATAATTGTTGTATTCCTTGAACTAAAATGAAGAATATACCTATGTGAGATGTATATATCAAAAAATTTATAAAGGAGAAATTATTAAATCAATTTAAGGTTTAGTATAATATTTGATTTATAGATAATATTGTCATAAACAAGCACTGAAAATGTTAAAGTTCTTCAAACACTCTGCATTGAGTATGGGAGCTAACTCTGAAATTCACTTTTCCGCTAATCACAGGACAGTGAGAGTTACACTTATATACATACATACATGCATGCATGCATGCATACATGCAAGCATGTATGTATTGCATGCATGCATACATACATACATACATACATACATACATACATACATACATACATACATACATACATACATACATACATACATACATACATACATACATACATACATACATACATCTTCTACCTTTTCTGCTCTTTTGCTATAGATTTCGTAGCTCTCGCATCATTTTATTATTGTTTTATTATTGTCATCTTGTTTCAGTGATAAACTTCATGATGTACATTTAGATATGCATAAAAATAAACAAACTATTGTTTGATATTTGTTTATATCTATAGGTGCTGTGACCTTTGATTTCGAGAACATTATGTCTGCCTTAAACCAGAAAAAAATATTAATTTGAAATAACCCATAATTATGTCAATTTAATGGTTTACATTCAATATGTGGAGCAGACAGAGGTCACGTATACAGTACAAATCTTTAAAACTTTATTTTATTGTGTGTAAACAAGTTGTTTTTATTCGTACTGACGGTTTAAGTGTTTATGACGTACGAGGATTGTGCGAACAAGTAATGCTTCAAGTTGTCTGCCTTTGATTGCCATAAGGAAAATGATTTATATCGTTTAATGTTTCATCTATATCTTCTACCTTTATGAAAATTGTTGAAAGTACACTTAAACTGATTGGCAAAAGTTATGATTTCAGTGCCCACAAACCAAATTCAAAGTTACGATCAAAGTAATATACATTGTCTCTCTGCAATATACACCACCACATGCAATGCAATATACACCACCACATGCAATCCAATCATGAAAGAATTATTGGTACATGTAAATGAGCAGAGAATCAATATTTTACGAGTCCAAAATTCTATTACACTATGACTTTATAACAGTCCTGAATACTGTGAAATGAAAAATAAGTCCAATTAAATGAAGCAGAGAATGAATGCTTCATAGAAAGTTCTAATATTTGCTTAAAATATCCAGCAAATCTCGCGTTTAGTCTAAATCTCGTTCTGGATTGTATAGATCAGTGAGAATACCTTGTCTCAAATATTGATATTTCAAATTTGAACAGTCGTAGTGACAAATGAGGCTCAAGTGCCCCATATGTTCGTTATTTCATTTCGAAATTACCATTCTGAAACTGTTATTTATATTTTATGCTATATAACGTTTTTATAATATTTATAATAAATATATTTAGCAGTTTAAAATTTTATTCTTCTTCAGCAAATTTTACATTTTGCTATCTTCCACTTCTACTTAACTGCTTTGATACCCGTAATTTCCATCCAAACTTTGGTCATGATTGCTATATTATCACTATATCTCGTAATATAATATATACTTGTGGGTAAATGTTATATGCCGCTTTATGGATGCAATTACTTGCCCATTGGCAATATTGCTATTGATCACGAAAATCTAAGTAATCCACGTATAATATTGAAGTAACTCTCGTAAATCATATCTAGGTTGAAATATATTCTTAATCGAATACACATCATACAGAAAGCGATGACAAGCACCTTTATAAAACGCAAAGAATTAGAATTTAGTACAGGTGCAAGTAAGGCAAAAACTGGAAGGGTACACAAGAGGTGACGAAGAAATGACAATGACAAAACACATACGCACAATGACGAATGCTTCATCTATCTATCTATCTATCTATCTATCTATCTATCTATCTATCTATCTATCTATCTATCTATCTATCTATCTATCTATCTATCTATCTATCTATCTATCTATCTATATCGCTCTCTCTATATATATATATATATATATATATATATATATATATATATATATATATATATATATATATATGCACACACACACACACTCTTCATAAGTATCTATTTAGATCTGTAGATCCATTGTGCCTTTCTTTTAAACATTAATATATAAATGGAACTCTTGTAACCGTAGAGGAGACGCCACAGCTCGTCGAAGAACACAATATTAGCTTGGTATATATTCGGATGATCCACATAGTTTCCTTAGACCAGACCATGTTTTCGCGTCTCAGACTCTCCTGCAGCTTACAAAGAAGAAACAATGGCTTTTTAAAACATTTTTGTTGGGGGGATAGGGAGCCTCAACATTTTCAGGAATTCTTTGAGTTCAAGAAAAGGCTGGTATACGTGAATACACTCGATTACACTGACAGGAAGGCACCCATAAAAGTGACAGCTTTTGTTTGTCCGTCTGGATTATAGCTATGCTATTTCCGTAACAAGAAGAACACGTGGTTGTGGATCTCTGAGTTGTCTCTCAAAATGAAAAGAATTGCAGAAAGGTATCCAAAATCGAAAGTTGCAAGAGTGATGTTTTAAGGAAAATCAAGGAACATTTTAATTCTCTATAATGCAAATTGAAAATTATTGAGAAGCTTTCGGCATTGTGAATAAAACCCTTCAAATAAGCGAAATTATCCTGGTACTGGTAAAAAAGATTAGAAAGTCCGAAATTGCTCCAATAGTCATGAAAATACTTAAATAACAAAATGATCGAATCCAGAATGCCTTTGAATGAGTTTTCAAAAATCCAAAATAATATGTAAATACAAAGGCTAAATAGTATTCCAGGAATTCTATTGATTATCATAAATAAATGTGTGTGTGTGGGTTTGTGTGTGTTTGTGTGTGAAATAAAACGTCCAGCCAATTGACCAGTGAATTGACCAGTTACATAGTTTCAGGATACTTTCTATATATTTTATTACATATTAAAGTTGAAACAATAGGTAGCCTGTTCCAACAATGAGTCTACAGTTAAGTTTCCATTTTCTTGGGAACAATGGAGAAAAATAGGATTATGTATTGGAAGCAAGGGCAAGTCTAACAAACGTATGCGTACTGTGGTAGTAGCATATATTACCACGACAACTAATTTCAAATTACACACACACTCACACACAGACACAAAGACACAAAGACACATATACACACACACACATACACACACACACACATATATATATATATACATATATATATATATATATATATATATATATATATATATATATATATATATATATATATATATATATATGCTTCTGTATAGTGTCTTATGCGCTTGTTTTGCTTTAGCGTTGATATAATAAAGATAAACTTAACTTGAAAGGGAATGTAGGCTGGGAAAGTGGGTAATTATTCAATCCTTGCAGAAATCTTGCTTTTGCAGATTCTGCGAGATGACTTCAGACTGCTAAAATATCATATTATTTCACAATTATTTTACCTCCTTGTTATATAATTCCATATCAAACAAAGTTGGTGATTTATCTTTTCTCATAAAAGCTTTATAGCTTTGAGATTTAGCGTTGCAGAAATGGACTCTTTAAAGGCGCCACAGGGTACTAGAAAGAGTGTAAATATTACAATATGAGCACGATGTGGGTCCCAAAGATATTTATATAGAATATGCATCTTACCAAAAAAAATATTTTACATTTTCAGACATAATAAAAATTTGAATTTGATTAGTGGCTACATGTATACATAACAATGTTGTAAAATAACCCTCTACGAGAAACTGGATTGTTATTATTTTTCGGACGGCTTTCCAATATTGCAAACAAACTTTAAAATAGGAGAATCTTTTAAGATCATTCTTAAAACTTATTAGTGATTATATTTAGATCACCTATGTAGAGAAAAACGAGAGAATAAACTTTCAGAAAATTAAAAAGATGAACATTGTAGCCTCGACCTCATATCTATCTATT